TTTCGATTGTTAACGGTTTTACTTCTTCGACTCGGCGTGGGCGAGTCGGAGCCGTTGTTTAGCGACAGTGGCACTTGGCCTTAGTCCCAGTTCGGGCGCGGTCGAACTACCGGCCGTGATGGTAAAAAACGCGGCCTTGTAGTTTGATCGGGCCGAACTTTACGTGGCCCGAATCTTAGTTCGAGTTGGGAGAACTTACTTGAATGGCGAGGGTGCCTAACCTGCGCCTCGATTCATCGGAGGTGGGATTTTGCTGAGTTAAATGATGAATGCGCTTGGCCTGAGCCCTAGATCAACTGAAGTTGGACTTGTTAAATTTGATGGCGAAGTCGCTTAGCCTTATGGTTCGAGCGAGGCCGAACCCGTTGAATTTAATGGCGAAGGCGCTTGGCCTGAGTCCCAGTTCAACTGAAGTTGAACTTGTTAAATTTGGTGGCGAAGGCGCTTGGCCTGAGTCCCAGTTCAACTGTAGTTGAACTTGTTTTATTTGATGGCGAAGGCGCTTAGCCTTATGGTTCGAGAGAGGTCGAACCCGTTGATTTTAATGGCGAAGGCGCATAGCCTGAGTCCTAGTTCAACCGTAGTTGAACTTGTTTTATTTGATGGCGAAGGCGCTTAGCCTGAGTCCCAGTTCAACTGAAGTTGAACTTGTTAAATTTGATGGCGAAGGCGCTTGGCCTTATAGTTCGAGCGAGGTCGAACCCATTGAGTTTAATGGCGAAGGCGCGTAGCCTGAGTCCCAGTTCAACTGAGGTTGAACTTGTTAAATTTGATGGCGAAGGCGCTTTGCCTTATAGTTCGAGCGAGGTCGAACCCGTTGAGTTTAATGGCGAAGGCGCGTAGCCTGAGTCCCAGTTCAACTGAGGTTGAACTTGTTAAATTTGATGGCGAAGACGCTTGGCCTTATAGTTCGAGCGAGGTCGAACCCGTTGAGTTTAATGGCGAAGGCGCGTAGCCTGAGTCCCAGTTCAACTGTGGTTGAACTTGTTTTGTTTGTTTGACCCAAAGCCATGAGTATTGAGTGCTGAGGCTCGATTTTGATTCGAGATCTTGAGTAGCTTATGCGTTGTCTTCCTTATCAGGATATGTAAGTTGTCCTGAGGTGACTTCTGGTTTGATATACTTCTGTGCCGGTTTCCGGCTGGATCCCTTATCAGGGATGTGGGGAATGTCTTACATGAGTCTTCCCTCGGGGGGGGGGGGGGGGGGCGTTCTTCTTCTTGTTTGCGCTGCTCTAGATCAGAGGGACAAAAGATTTGGGTTTTCGTTGAGGACCTCGAATTCCTTTTGTCCGATGCGCAGCTTTGGCTCGTCTGAGCTAGATCGTTTTCTCTTTTTTTTGTGTTTTCTCTCCCTTTGGTCCAGGGAAGAACTATGCGATTTTGCTGGGAATTCCCCACAGACGGCGCCAAATTGTTTGACTCAAAAGTTATCGGATACTTTATGAGCATAAAACAATAAAAATAACTCAAGGAAAAATCATAGCAAACCATAATAATCCATTGGACCAAATGAAAGATATGAAGAACAAGTATCGAGAATTAAGGGGAAATATATAAAGAGCCTTTATCGATAGTATTGAACTGGTCTGCCTCTCCTTGGAGAGGTTCAGAACCTTACAATGGTGTTCTCTTTCCCATGATATGGGTATTGGTGTCTGTTTCTCTTTCATGAAATGTGCCGAAGAAGAAGCCCCCCTTTAGGGTTCCCTCTCTTGATATTTATAGCTGTGAGCTTCATGAGCTGGCAATAAGTGGTCGTGGCCATATCGAACTTTCGCCTTCTTAATGGTGGAAGGATCGTGGCCCTGTGATTGGGTCAGGCGAGAGTTGAATGCTATTAGTAACAAGGGATCGTACTACTTATTAATCATGAATTAATTAGAACGGGATTAGTTCCGTTAATCGTAGTGGGGTCGGATTCTGACCCATACACTACGCATATTGAAGTATAAACTGGTTATTAGATAATTATCACGTTCGATAATGTTGCTGAACTATCTCTATAAGGTAGGATAAGGGGTGTGCATACAATATCCTCCTCAAATCTCATTTATGGAATTACACTGAGTTGTTCTTATTGTTGGTAATATTGCTGAAATAAGGTAGAGGACTAAAGGCTATTGAATGCTTAATATCGAGTAATTAGCTAATATACATTGGTAGTATACATTATTTTTTATATTATTAGTGTTATAAAAATTATGCTTTCCTGAGCCGAAGGTCCATTGGAAACAGTCTCTCTATCCTCACAAGATAGGGGTAAGGTCTGCGTACACACCACCCTCCCCAAATCCCATGGTGTGGGATAATATTGGGTATATTGTTGTTGTTGTTGTTGTTGTTGTTGTTGTTGCAGTGTTATAATTTAACATATTAAAGCATGTTACTATAGTTGGGGTTGCAGCACAAGTGCACCATAAATATAAGTACAAATAGCAAGGGCTAGCTAGTTTTCGGACCCGTAATTGAAAAATAGGCACATTTGTAAAGTTATAAAGTTATGCGGAGATAAAATCTGGATAAAAATACCGTACATGAAATATGAATTTTTTTTTGCATAATATGCCAGATTATAAAACTCATGCATATAAATTTTCAGCATATTATGTTGGAACTCAACACTATAAAATTCCAGCATATTATACTCGATTCTCATATGTAAAAAAATTGAATCCAACATTAATTTTTCTGAATTTTTAAGGGTATTTTTGTCTAGATTTTATTTTTATATAAAAAAGTGACTATATTTCAGTTATTTTGAAATAATGACTGATTTTCAATTAGCATGTGTAAATCAAGCTATTTCTGAATTCTGATCTTCCCCCATAATATACTTGACTATGACAAATCAGCAGGAGATTGGGGTCCAACTTATTAGGGGGTCGTTTGGTTGGAATAGGACTTATGCCGGTATAAGTTATTGCCGGTATAAGTTATGTTGGGATAAGTTATGCTGGGATTAATTATGCTGGAATTATTGTTTATTCACTGTTTGGTATGTTATTCAAGTCGAAATAAAAAAAACCAGCATGATAGTACTAATAAGTTGCGCATAAATTTTCGTATTAATTGGACAGTTTGATAGTAAGGATTAGGAAGAAGTACAACGGTTTACTCTTTTGTTGTGTGGGAAAAGAAAAGTTAACTCAGTGCAAGAGAAGTATATTATAGATAGAGGAAGCTGCATCCTACGGAATATTTTCTTGATTGTAAATCATTATTCAGAGGAATACAGGATGAGCTTAAATTTGAAGGCGATATTGTTTGTTGGAAAACTACTTAAATTACGACTAAGGCTCGAATGTTCCTGTTGAGTCTAACTGTCTAAGCTATATTCAATATAAAATATAAAATTGAGCCTAAGCTATTTTTTCAAACTCGAGTACTTGTTAGCTGTTGAGAATAATTGAATGGAACCAAATGGTTAGGTATTCGGCTTTTTAAGGTATCCCATTTGGTGTTTGATACCCGCATTAATACTATGATTAATTTGTATTGCACCAAATAAGGCATATTAAAGAGGAAAATATTCCTTATCAGGATTATTTTTATAGTTATAAAAGATGAAGGGATTATATCCATCTCATCACAATCCTTGATAGTTAGTTATTCGTCTCGACTCAATTTGATTACAACACTCTAAAAGACAGAAGTGACGTATCCTCTTTCTCTTTGTCTATTTCTTCTTCTTCTTGGTTTTTTCAAATAGGGGGGGGGAGGGGGGTTACTTTCTTCTTTTATTGCAAATATTCCATCTAAAACTATGAAAATGTAGTAAGTGGAAAATATTAAATTATATTGACTCTGGTTGTATAAAAAGTTTTCTTCCCTAAGAATAGTTTCAGGAATGATTCCAGTGGAAGTTAAGAGAGATGGAAAAAACCTTGATTACATGATCATTTTAGAGATCATTAAGTAATAATGTAGAAATAAATAAATATTTCATTACTTCTTCAATGAGAAGAGAAAACGAATTTGCTTCTTCAAATATGAAAAAAAAAAGGAAAAAGTTTTTCAGTAATCTGAGAAAGACTTTTCTTCATTCTAAGGGGTCACTTCTCCCCCGAAAAGAATATAAACTGATAAAACTTATTGAATTCATCATAATATAAATAGAAAAATATCTAATGAATATTCCAATGTTAAAAAATAATATATAAATCTTCAACCATCAAGGAATGTGCTCATACTTAATTAGTCATTTCGAATTCGAATACTAGAAATCAAAAGTTTTCTGGCATAATTAAATCCCTCACTAGTTCAGGGCATAGAGCCCGTTTGGATGGGCTTGTTGTAAGTGATTTTGAAGCCAAAACCGTAAAAATAACACGGGCTAGCCAGTTTTCGGACTGGTCATTCAAAAATAGCCAGCGTTTGCAAAGTCATTGAAAATTTTTGCTGCAACACGGAAAGTTCCAGCATAATATACTGGAGATTGGTGCACTTATGTATGAACTTCCAGCATAATATGCTGGAATTCCAACACGCGGAAAGTTCCAGTATAATATACTGGATAGTGGAGCACCGGTGCTCCAATCTCCAGTATATTATACTTGAGAATTTTTCGGATTTTGGATAATATTTTTGTTCAGATTTATCTTTACATGAAAAGTGGCTAAATTTCGATTTCTTTTAAAACTGTGGCTATTTTTGAAAGACCACTTATAAATCTGACTATTTTTTAATTTCTCCCCCAAAAATTTAAAATACAAATTGCGAGTTAATACTCAAAACCTTATAGTTAAAAAATTTACCAAAGAAGTTAAATTATAGATTTCAATCTAAGCAAGTAAATGTAATGTGGTAAGTCAACTAAAATCTACAAAATTTAGATCCTGAAAATTGAACTCAAACTTGTAAAATTCAAATCCTAAATTCATCCCTTCAAAATTGCTTAAAAATTAATCAAAATATGAGTTAGTATGATAGGGAACACGTGATAAAGAATTTGGCACGATAAAACCGAGGCTGCATCTCATAATCACCGTTGGATCTCAAACCCTCAAATCCGTCGATAAACCCCTCTTATCCTCTCTCTCAATTTCACCTACTCTTTCCTACTGCTCTCTCTGCTTTTCCCTTTTTTCGCCTCTCCAAAAACTGAGGCACAATTAGAAAGATCTTCTCTTTTTCTGCTATATATCTCTTAACCACACCCTTTTTCTTCGTCATCACCGACATATCCTGGTAATTTTCTCTCTTCTTTTGGTCATTTTTACTGTTTTTGTTACCATTTTTATGAGTTTTTACTGTGTTTTTTAGTTCGTGGAAATAAAGGTTCTTAATTCATGCTGTACTATGATCTGATTTTAGTATAGTTAATTGAGTTTCTGTGTTTTATGTGTACGAATAGATCATGTAGTCTTTTGGGTGCTAGGGTTTTCATTTTCCTCGGCTTTTGTTTGCTGTTGATTTTTAATTGCGGAAAAGGAGTTCTCTTATGTGTATTTTAAGCTATATTAAGATCTCATTTCACTGTGGTTAATTAGGTTTCTGCGTTTTAATTCCTTTCTATTGCTTTATGGGTCCGAATTGATAACGGAGTCCTTTGGGTACCTGGTTTTTTTTTACCTTGATTTTGTTTCCTGCTGATTTTAATGGATATTCTCAGCTCTATAGTGATTTTACTTTAGTTAATTGGGTTTCTGGCCTAGTGCCGAGGGTCTATTGGAAATAGCCTCTCTACATTCTATAGGGTTAAGGTCTGCATACTATCTACACTCCCCAAACCCCACTCGTGGGACTATACTGGGTTTGTTGTTGTTGTTGTTGTTGGGTTTCCGTGGTTTAATCTATTTTTATTTCCTTATAAATACAAATAAATAATGTAGTCTTTTGGGTTGTAGGATTTTTTTGCCTTTGATTTTTGTTTACTGCTAATATTTTCATGATTGGCTTGCGTAGTTCTTTGTTGGTTTTGATTTGTATTGCTTATCGGTCAGAATTGAAAATGTGCGCCTTTTGAGTGCTAGCATTATTTTTTGTCTGATACTAATTTCTTCTTGATTTGTTTCTGTGTTTGTTGTTGATTTTGTTTTGTGAATCTAGGTTTCGTTGAGGTTTATTTGTGATGGAAAATGGGGAGGAAGTATTTGGCAAGGCTGGGGTAGGGGAGAGGAATGGTGTCGTAGATGAGACTGTGGAATTGCAGGCGGAGGATAAGGCAGCTGTGAGGCCAGATGTGTCAAAGGAATTGGAAGGGGATGATGTGTTTGAGGAAGCAATAGAGCCAGAGACTCCTGGTGTTGGTGTTGAGGATGGAGTTGTCAGTGAGGGCAATGATGGCAAGTCTGGGAATGTTAACTGTTCTTTGGAGGACGGCGGGAATTCTGATTCAAGGGATGATACTGACAACTTTAAGGAAGCAGTTGAAGCTTCGCATGAGATACAGCATGCCGATGATGAGTCTAATCAGAAGTCAGAAGCTAAATGGAACAAGGAGCCTTCTGTTGAGAAGCAAAGTGCTGATGAAATATCTGCAAAGGGGAACTCTGATTCAAGGGATGATTTTGAGAACTTTGAAGAAGCAGTTGAAGCTTCACACGAGATACAACATGCTGATGATGAGTTGAATCAGAAGTCAGAAGCTAACTGTAACGAGAATCCTTCAGTTGAGAAGCAAAGTGATGATGAGTTATCTGCAAATAATGAAAAAGAAGTGGTTGAGCAGAGTAACATAGTAGACAAGGGTAAAGATGAGGTGGCTGAGGTTTCAGATCTGGGTGCTGCTGTAGAAACTGAAATTTCAGTAAATTGGGATGAAAAGAAAGATAAGTCAGCTGAACCAGTTAAGAAATCTGAGAATGGAGTTTCCAATCATGTGAACTTGGGAGAGGCTCAAACTCATGATGATGCAGATGAAACAAACCCTGATGTTCTTGGAAAATTGGATACCCAGGATGCTAACGAGGCAAAAGTGGATCTTCAGAACCAGGTTCATTCGTACAAAGATGCTTTGCTGCGTGATGAAAAGAATGTTGATGTGATTGAAACATCTGCTGTTCAGCCTGCTGGGCATCAGGACACTGCTGACGTCCACAGTAATGCTTTAGTTAGTTCTGGCTCCGTACTGAATGATGAAAAAAATATTGAACGGGAAGGAGTGCATTCTCTTCTTGTAAAACCTGTGAATTCTGATGTTAAGGATGAAGAGCTGAAAGATATTTCCCATAATGATGCTTCCACAAATGGTCATCTTGGAGAAAGCTTGAACCCAAGTGATGAACTCAAAGAAGAAGTAGTGCCTACTCCAGAACAAATTAATGGTAGTTATGTGGATGACGAGCATATGGATATAGAAAGAACAGTGCCTTGTCCGGAACAAGTTAATGGTAGTAATAAGGATGAAGAGCTGCAGATAGATGGAGAAAAAGCAGTAAGTAGTATAGAACCAGTTAACAGTAAGGATGAAGAGCAAATAGATGGGGAAAAAGCCGTGGCTAGTCCAGAACCAGTTAATGGTAGTAGTAAGGATGAACAGCAGATCGACGGTCCAGGCCATGTTACTGCTTCTACTCTGCAAGAAGGAAGCTCCCCCTTAAAGGCAGAATTGAGAGACAAAGAATCAACTAGCCCAGAACCAATAGCTCATGAGGACATGTCGAAACAAAAGGATATTCAGAACGGTGATGCTACTGATCATCAAAGACTGGAATTAAACGAGTCGCCTGCTACTGGGCCAGGGAATTTGAATGACAAGATCAACAAGCAGAAAAATGTTTCTGTTTCTGGCACTCCAGCCTTTGAAAAGCATACCAGAGATTCAGTAATGGATAGAACCACTGCACTGGATGAAATGTCTGAATCATCAGAAGTGTTGATGTCCAACAATCATGAGAAGGTCTCCGAGGTTTCTCAACCTCCAGTAGTTGATGCAGGCGTTGGAGTCGATAAAGTTGTTGTGAAGGAACCAGAAGCCAGATCTGCAACGGAACTCCCATCATCTTCTGGTGCACCTGCAACTCGGATACGCGCACCTGATCGACCTGTTGGCCTTGGTCGTGCTGCCCCGCTATTGGAACCTGCTACTCGAGCAGTTCAGCAGCCTCGTGTAAATGGAACAGCATCTCCTGCACAAAACCAGCTTGTTGAAGAATCCACAAATGGAGAGGCTGATGAATATGATGAGACACGTGAGAAGCTCCAGATGATAAGAGTCAAGTTTTTGCGTCTAGCTCATAGGCTTGGGCAGACTCCACATAATGTGGTTGTTGCCCAAGTCTTGTACAGATTGGGGTTGGCTGAACAGCTGCGGGGGAGAAGTGGAGGTCGTGTTGCTGCTTTTAGTTTTGATCGTGCAAGTGCTATGGCTGAGCAACTTGAGGCAGCTGGACAAGAACCCTTGGACTTCTCTTGCACAATAATGGTTCTTGGGAAAACAGGTGTCGGTAAAAGTGCAACCATAAATTCGATATTTGATGAAGTTAAGTTTGGCACTGATGCTTTTCAGTTAGGGACAAAAAAGGTTCAGGATGTTGTTGGGACTGTGCAGGGAATCAAGGTTCGAGTAATTGATACTCCTGGGCTTTTGCCTTCCTGGTCAGACCAGCGCCAGAATGAGAAGATCCTTCATTCTGTGAAACGATTTATTAATAAGACACCCCCAGATATTGTTCTGTATCTTGACAGGTTGGATATGCAGAGCAGAGATTATGGTGATATGCCGTTGTTGAGGACAATTACTGAAATCTTTGGACCATCAATATGGTTTAATGCCATAGTTGTTCTGACGCATGCTGCATCTGCTCCACCTGAAGGTACCAATGGTACTGTAACGAGCTACGACATGTTTGTAACTCAGCGGTCTCATGTTGTCCAGCAAGCAATACGTCAGGCTGCCGGAGATATGCGCCTTATGAATCCTGTTTCGCTAGTTGAGAATCACTCAGCATGCAGGACAAACAGGGCTGGACAAAGAGTGTTGCCTAATGGACAGGTTTGGAAGCCTCACTTGTTACTTCTGTCGTTTGCGTCAAAAATATTGGCTGAAGCGAACACATTGCTTAAATTACAAGATAGCCCACCAGGCCGGCCTTATGCCACTAGAACAAGATCTCCTCCTTTACCTTTCCTGCTGTCATCCCTTCTACAGTCAAGGCCACAGGTTAAACTACCAGCGGATCAATTTGGTGATGACGATGAGACCTTGGATGATGATCTGGATGAGTCTTCAGACTCAGAAGATGAATCAGAATATGATCAACTGCCACCTTTCAAACGCTTGACCAAAGCTCAGCTGGCAAAGTTGTCCAAAGACCAGAAGAAGGCATACAATGATGAGTTGGAATACAGGGAAAAGCTTTTTATGAAAAAGCAGTTGAAGGAAGAGAGGAGGAGGCGGAAGATGATGAAGAAAATGCAAGCTGCAGCTGAAAGTTTACCACCAACTGATCCCAGTGAAAATGTAGATGAGGAGACAAGCGGTGCAGCATCAGTGCCAGTACCCATGCCAGACTTGGCGTTACCGGCTTCATTTGATTCTGATAATCCAACTCATAGATATCGATATCTCGATTCTTCTAATCAGTGGCTTGTGAGGCCTGTCCTAGAACCTAATGGTTGGGACCATGATGTTGGTTATGAGGGCATCAATGTAGAAAGATTGTTTGTTGTCAAAGACAAGATCCCTATATCTTTGTCCAGTCAGGTTTCGAAGGACAAAAAAGACACCAATCTTCAAATGGAAATTGCAAGTTCAGTGAAGCATGGGGATGGAAAAGCAACTTCTGTAGGTTTTGATATGCAGTCAGTCGGTAAAGACCTTGCTTATACTCTTCGCAGTGAGACCAGATTCTGCAATTATAGGAAGAATAAGGCGACAGCTGGTCTTTCAGTAACTCTCTTAGGTGATGTCATGACAGGTGGGGTGAAAGTTGAGGACAAATTAGCTTTTAATAGACGGGGACTACTGGTTGTGTCTGGGGGTGCCATGTTTGGCCGTGGTGATGTTGCTTATGGTGGTAGTTTGGAAGCGACATTGCGAGACAAAGATCATCCTCTTGGTCGTTTCCTCTCAACTTTGGGGCTCTCGGTTATGGACTGGCATGGAGATCTTGCTATCGGATGCAATTCACAAACCCAGATACCTATTGGACGACACACAAACTTGATTGGCCGTGTCAACATTAACAATAAGGGGTCTGGACAAGTTAGTATTCGTTTGAACAGTTCAGAACAGCTTCAGATTGCCTTGGTAAGCTTAATTCCACTTGTCCAAAAGCTGCTTAGCTTCTCTCAACCAGTGCAATTTTGATGATGATGAAAATAAGGCCACTGCACCATACTGCCATTCAGTGATTCACAAATCACTTGTATAGTGGCCATCAGCTGATCGGCATCACTGAACGTGAGTATGTCCTTTTTTTTCCTGGTTTCTTTCTCAGCCATAATATTCATGGACTTTATTGGTTGCTGTTACTTCTCGTCAGCAGTTTCTGGAGATGTTTTGAACCTTTTTAATGGGGGGGAAAGATGCTCTTTTTATTGTTTTACAATTATTTCTTCCATGATGTGAACTGTATTCATATTTCAGTAGCTTTTGGGTTATTTGTTCCATCTGATTGCACCTCTAGTCTTTATACTCGTAGTGCATATCTATCTATGACCTTATAGTTGCACTTCACGGTTAGTATGAATCATTTTATGCTTATAAACTTTGGTAATAGAACTTGTGTGTATCAAGATGATGATGCTGGGAACAGTTTATAAGACAGAAAGTTATAAGGTGTATAAAGAGGAAAAACCTTTATCCTATTATGTTCCCATAAGAAGCATGATGTGATCTGTTACGCTGCTTCAAAATTCCTACTGTCAAATCAGTAACCTCTGGTGTGCCATGATATTGATAAAAAGAATGCACACTAAAGGTTAAAAGTCTATGTTTTATGGTCTGTCTGATTACACTTCTCCTCCCCAATGAGGAACCTCTGGTTGATGTTTGATTAATTCTACTGCTGCCCAAATATTTACTTAATGTCTTCCTGCAAAGTATGCAAAGAACTTGCTTTAAATTCAACAAGCCCAAGTCCATATAGTAATGCTGAAGAATTAGACAAACTGAACATGATCTACTTGAAGTGGGAGCTGGATGGGATTTATATGAAGTTTGTTATTGGCTGGAAAATGTTCCTATGCTTTTGGTTAATATCTGAAATTGTGTTTAAGGAATAGTGATCTTCTATCTGAATGTTGCTTCCCATACGAGGAAATGCTATCTGTTGAGATTCAATGCCTGCCTCATTTCAGCTTTAGCTGTTTATTTTGATTCCATGTTGTTGGTGGAGTGGCTTGTCAGTTCTATGTTGATGACTTCCTATGCTGATATAAACTAATTAATGTGCAGATGCACATTGTTTTCTTGAGACGAGAGAGAGGAGATGCATTACTGAGCTTCACGAGGAAAAATGTTTGTGTCCAAGATCATCTGAAAGCATTCGGTTGTAGCCTAAGAAGAGAGTTTAGCCAACCCCCCTGTTCAAATTTCAATTTTGGTTATTATCATGATGGGGAGATTGAATGCTCTTGTAAACTTGATTGGGAAATGTTAGCTAGTTAAGTTTCTAAATAGATGATGAAAAATGGATTAATGGTATAGCAAGTTGAGTTTAGCTATTGTAATATGGGGCTGCTGTTATGCTGTTGATGAGCCGTTCTAGTATGCTCTTTTCGCGGGCTTCGTCGAACTGCATTTTTGTATTTGGTCTGCACTTCCTTGCTGGTTAAGTAACTTCTAGTCTTGAGATTAATTGCGAGATTTTAACGATTGGAGTTTATTTAGCCCAGTCGGATGGATGTTTGTGCTTTTATTCTATTAATAATAGTAAACATACAAAGCCATGTGGAAGATCCAAAGCAGAATGATCATCTGCTGTCTATTTACTAGACATTGTAGCCATCAAATGGCCTCTGCCAAGTAATAGTGAAATGATTAATTGCTTTTGATATATTCATTGTTTCCTATTGTTTTCAGTTGCGAGCCATGTGCGTGCTCCTTGTTGGATATACGTTTGTCGTTTAGTGTACAGATTAACTTGTGTCAGTATGCTTTTCGATTGCTCCATCAAGCCACTCTCTTTGTCCATTACTTGAATGGAATCTCCTCTAGTAGAATGTCTTATTTTAATTGCTAAACGAATGGCAGTTATGTAATATTAATTAAATATGTGGAAAGTAGTATATTATTATGTAATTTCAAATTATATTCATAGTGATTTTCTTAGTAGGTTGAATTTTTAATAGTTTTTATTAGTAGATTAATTGATTTTATATTGTAGCCTCGTGATTCGGGGACTTCAAGGTGCATAGTGATGAAAGGAAAATCGAGTATATATATATATATATATATATATATATATATATANTATATATATATATAAATAGATGATTAAAAATTCTTCTATTAGTATTAGTGAAAGCATATATATATATATATATATAAATAGATGATTAAAAATTCTTCTATTAGTATTAGTGAAAGCATATATATATATATATATCAAAATAGATGATTAAAAATTCTTCTATTAGTATTAGTGAAAGCATATATATATATATATATATAAATAGATGATTAAAAATTCTTCTATTAGTATTAGTGAAAGCTCAATGCCAACTCTCTCTGTCTCTCACTATGATCGGATCTTGTGAACAGTGTTCTTCCTAAAAAGTCAAACATCAACGGTTTAAAGGTAATTTTCTAGAGATGAGCGTTAAATGAATATGAACGAAGTAAGAAAGAGTATGTTGGCGCATGTCAAATATTGATGTATTCACTAGTCTAATGTTGCGCAAGACAAATTTTGATGTATTGACTAGTCTAAATTTTCGATAATTCTGCTGTATAAAAAAAGAATGATAGAAACACATATAAGTAGCAGCTGATAGCATTATTGCTTTCCTATTTCCAGAGGCGTGTAGTCTCCTTTTGTGTTGTCGAATCCACTGCAGCATCACGTATTGGTTACGAAACAATTAAGAACGGTTTTAATTAACACTAGTAAACATTTTATTATCACGCATTCATTAACAGGAATTTTGAGAAACCACTATTGTTTAGTGGCTATTAACTTCCCATACCTACCATATACATAATTACTCCCTATAGCTACTATTTAGTTGTTACGGTAGTGTATTCACTGTATTAGCGCTGCTGTATTCATGAATACAGCAACAAAAAGCGTCTAAAAATCAGGGTAGTCCAGCTGTACGCGCATGTATTCACATGTATTCGCGCTATGTATTCATGAATACAGTAGCAAAAAACGCCTAAAATCAGGGCAGTTCAGCTGTACGCGCATGTATTCACATGTATTCGCGCTGCTGTATTCATGAATACAGTAGTTAAAAGCACCTAAAATCTATGGCTGTTCAGCTGTATGCGCATGTATTCACATGTATTCGCGCCATGTATTCATGAATGCAGCAGAAAAAAGCGCCTAAAATCATGGCAGTCCACCTGTACGCGCATGTATTCACATGTATTCACGCTGCTGTATTCATGAATACAACAGTAAAAACGCCTAAAATAAGGGTAGCCCAGCTGTACGCGCATGTATTCACATGTATTCGCGCCATGTATTCATGAATACAGCAGGAAAAAAACGCCTAAAATCAGGGCAGTCCAGCTGTACGCTCATGTATTCACATGTATTCGCGCTGCTGTATTCATGAATAGAGCAGTTAAAAGCGCCTAAAATCAGGGCAGTCCAGCTGTATGCGCATGCACACATGTATTCGCGCCATGTATTCATGAATACAGCAGCAAAAAGCGCCTAAAAGCAGGGCAATCCAGCTGTACACGCATGTATTCACATGTATTCGGGCCGCTGTATACATGAATACAACAGTAAAAACGCCTAAAATCAGGGTAGTCCAGCTGTACGCGCATGTATTCTACATGTATTCGCGCCATGTATTCATGAATACAGCAGCAAAAAACGCCTAAAATCAGGGCAGTCCAACTGTATGCACCTGTATTCACATGTATTCGCACTGCTGTATTCATGAATACAACAGTTAAAAGCGCTTAAAATCAGGGCAGTCCAGCTGTATGCGCATGTATTCACATGTATTCACGCCATGTATTTATGAATACAGCAGCAAAAAGCGCCTAAAATAAGGGCAGTCCAGCTGTACGCGCATGTATTCACATGTATTCGCGCTGCTGTATTCATGAATACAACAGTAAAAACGCCTAAAATCAGGGTAGTCCAATTGTATGCGCATGTATTCGCATGTATTCGCGTCATGTATTCATGAATACAATAATGACAATCACCTTAAAAATAGGTATCTCCAGTTGTCTAAGAGAGAGGAAAAACATAAATAGCGTATTTCGTGCCTTATTTCATGCCTCAATGGTAGTATATACCATAAATACTTATTTTGCTATAAAATATAAAAGGTTGCCATAGAAAATAATATTTTAAAATAATTTTGGTTTATAATAAATAGGGTATATACCTTTGCCATAGGAGGTAAACTTTCCTTCACTAAACAAGCAGCTATATATATGTAAGTATGTATATATATATATATATATATATATATATATATATATATATATATATAGACACACACACACACACAGTCAACCCTCTCTATAACAACCTCGTTTGTTCCGATATTTTTTGGCTTTTATAGTGAAGGGCTGTTATACACCTATAACATCATTTGACATTTAAATATTTTTTGGCTATTATAGATAAAAACTACCCATAAATTAATTATTTTCCTTTTTAAATGTTACATATAAAAAATAAAAATATTATTCAAATTTAATATCTCAAAAGATATGCATATTTCACTAGTTAAATATTGAAGAAAGCTAATGCATTATTAATAAATTCAAAAATAAAAGTATAAATACTTAAACTCTAAGGCAGACATTTTAAATGTATTGATGGAAGAACTTTTGTAAATGTAGCTTGTTTTGTAGATTTCATTCTATTACTAACGATATAATGCTTGAATTGGCGAAGATTTGTGTCCAAATATTCAGCAAAGAGGTATCCAATAGCTTTCCCTTGAAGACAATCTAAGAGCGTAATAGTTAAAACTTTTATGTTAATATTTTTTGGAATTTGTCCATTGGAAAGATATCATGTACAAATCATCAATCTCATATCTTATGCAAGATAGAAACTTTGTTTAATGGAAAAGATAGTGTGCATAATTTTAAAATTATTATTAATAATCTTAATGATTCTATATGGCTGTTATAGAGGGATAATTTTACAAAGAACGTTTTGCTATGAATTTGGTTGTTGCTGTTATAGGTAAAAAGCTGTTATAGAGAGGTAAAATATAACTTAAAAGATCGGTTATGAGGAAAACTTGGCTTTTATAGTGAATAGTTGTTATATAAGGATGCTGTTATAGAGAGGTCTGATTGTACGCTGGTGATTTTGATCGTTAATCATCTATCCTAATTCAATGAGTTGACTTTTACATCAAAATAAAACAATAACATCACAGTCGCTATCCTAACATTATTTGTAAGAACCGTGAGATCTAAAACTCAAAGAAACATATATATCAAATATATCAAACATTACTCCGTTCACTTTTTCGGAGCTAAGCTTATTATTCCCCAAAAAGTTGGAAAAAAAAAAATGAAGTAACTAAAAAAAATCAGTAATGACGTACAATGACATTATATTCAACAATAACAGTTGTATTGCTAGAGAAATAAGTCTTAGCTGTAGCAACACCTTGAGCAAGCCTAAAAATTCCAGATCCACCAATAATTGGCAACTCTCTGTATTCCTGCGATTCAGAAACTCGACCAACCACGCTCAGAGTACTACCATTATAAGGTCCGGTAGTGAACACAAAATTGAAGTCGAAAAATAGAGCAATTTCAGTCAATGATGTAGCCCCATGAATTCCCTGGGCTCGGCCCACTTGTTTCGATTTGGGCTCTGGCCCAATAGTTAATGGGTTGTCGAACATTCTAACCATGCCAAAGAATGTAGGTGACTGGGCCGTGATGTTGGCTTGTGCAATAACAGGAGCTGTTTCGTTATCTCCTGCGAAAATTTCGTGAAAGTAGAAGTGGAATTTTGTGGTTTTTTGCTTTGCGTATGGAAGATTTTTGAACCATTTTTCCACTGCTTTTGGGTTTTTGTCTATGACTGCTACTGTAGCTATTACTAGTATTGACAAGCTTATAAGGCGAATGGCCATTTGCTTCTCCATTTCTTTCTTGTTTCTGCAGAGAATAGAAATTTTTAAGATTGCATGAAAGAAAGAAGATACATAGAGAATAGTTATAGCGCGGGTTCATTCTTTTTTTTATCATATGGTTATATTTTATTTGTTTAACCAAGTTGTTGGGTACTAATCTCACCAATAGGCGTAGACTTTTTGTATTAAAAAAGAATGTTCTGACTTCTGATTAATACGCCCATATTATATACTATCGGTTAGCTAAATATATGAAAGAAGAAGAAGAAAGGTGGTATGATAAACAATTCCAGCTGAGCTGACCATACTGAGTATAAATCTACGTGCTCTCAAATTGAGATCAGAGATATGACTTTATTAATTATGTCTTAGCAATTCGTTTAAATAATTGGCATTATGTTTATCATCATGACCAGGGGTGGGTGTTGGACCTCCTCTCCCTGTCACGATCCAAAATTCATTAAAGGTCGTGATGATATCTAACACAGCTGTCTGGCAAGCCAACAATAATTGATTAACTTAATTACTCATTTTGGTATTTGAAATCACAATTTATCATTAATTAAAGGCGAAATACATAAACAGCCCCTCCAAGTTGTCCACAACGGTCAGTTGAACACCTCAACTGAGACTATTTCCAGTTAAACACTTCAAGTACTTACAAAGTATATCAAGTAAACACTTTGCGCTGACATGACAAATCAATTGTGTCTCACTACAAATTGAGCGCGTGAGGACATGAATTATGTTCTTTTCTTTTTCTTTTCAGTTTAAAAAATAACCTTAAACAAATACTCTTATTATAAAAATAGAAATTAAACCTTCTTCTTTCCAATAGAAGCCGGCTGGATCTCCGGCAACGAAGCTATCCCAAAACCACCATAAAACCACCTTGAGTTAATCCTTCCAGCCACTGTAATCTACGCCTCTATATCAACATTTCTCCACCAAATACTCAAATCCAAACACTAATGAAATTCCTTCATTTTAGCCAAAAACCTTAAGCGGCGCACAAGCTCCACCGTATCTCCTCCCTAGTCACCGACCAACATCTCCTTTTATCGTCTCAAATTCTTTTGTTGTGCTTTGAAGTGCAACTATGGCGGAAGAAAGAGCCATCCATGTGCGAGTGCGGAAATGAATGTTTCCTCCATCTTCAATCTTTTGTGGTCTTTTACATAGAGGATTTTTTTATGATTTTTCAGTTTGAAACTCAAGCAGATGAGAATATTGTGAAATTCTTAAGCACACTTCTTCTCCTCTCTGTTATTCACCAGCAGCAGAAATTACATGTCCTTCCACTTTTGCTTCGATTAAAGGGAGAAAGGAAGTGGGTGAAAAAGATTGGAAAATTTTTCCCAGTGAGATCTAACGGTGGAGTCGAAGGTCCTACTCGATTTGTAATTTTATTGAGTGGTAGTATAAGAATTGGCAGTTTAAGGTGAGGTTTCTGTATATTTTCGTTGGTGTGTAATAATGGTGGTTTGAGTTGGAGATGAAATCCAGTGTTCTTATTTATAGTTATTAGAACTTTCAAGGTTCAATCTAAATTTTTCTTTGCCCAATTTTTTGCAGATGAAATGGTGGTCATGGGTTCAACGAGTAAGGGGAAGGAGAGTTAGGGGAAGGAGGAACGCTGGTTTAGGAGAAGAATTTTTTTCTTTTTTAAATATTTTTTTTGTTAATTACATGTGTCAAATTCTTATGGCAAAATTACATGTGTCATTTTTTGATTGGTTCATTTGCCATGTCATCGGCAAGTGTAACTCACGCATATGGCATGCTGTACTCAGGTGTTTACTTGACCTACTTAATAGCCACTTGAAGTGTTTAACTGGAAATAGTCTCAACTGAGTTGTTCAACTGACCGTTGTGGACAACTTGGAGGGGCCGTTTATGTATTTTGCCTTAATTAAATTATACAAAAATAGAATTTACAGAGTAAATAAAAATATTTTTAACAATTTCACCACAATCACCCCAAAACCTGGTGTCACAAGTGCATGAGTATCAACTAGGAAGTAAAATAAAATACAGCATCTGTCCGGGATACAAATTGGACAGGAAAAATATAAATACTTTGAAGGAGACTCTGCTGGCTGCGGGTCGTAATATAAAATACATCTCACCTAAGTCCCCGCATTTAAATACGCCTCTGCTCTCACAAGGCCACTATACATATATGTACCTGCACAAAAATGTGCAGCAAGTGTAGTATGAGTACGTAAATCAACGCGTGCCCAGTAAGTATCCAGTCTAACCTCGAAGAAGTAGTGATGAGGGGTCGACTCCGACACTTACTATGGGCTAACAATAGAATGCCGATATTATATTTAAGCATGGAATACATAACATAACAAAAAATTCAATAATCGGAAATAATCAACAATCCTTTTTCCAATAGAAATTCCCAAATTCATTTTCGTTATTTAACAATTTATATCTCAAGCCAATAAAGCAAAGTCAATTCTTATGAGTTCCAAAGAGTTATCATGCGCAACTCATGCCGAGGTCGTACAGCCCAATCCAACATATAAATATAAAATGTGCACTGCAGGGTCGAATAGCACGAACCATAGATGAATCATTAACCTGACGAGGCGAACGACCCGCTCCCAAGAGAGTAGTGAAAATTTACCCCGCTCACGGAATATATTTACGACGCGGTTGAACATAAATTTCTCAAATTGTTATAATATTCCTCAATTCTTTTCAAAAATACGAAGTTTAAATGAAAACTTTTAAAATCTCAAATTCCTCTATTTCAACTCTTTTCAAGACAATTATTAAGCAAACTCAATCTCCTTCTTCTCAAGGCAAATAATAAACATAAATCAAATAACAATATCAACAAGGCATGGTGTAAACCTAAAACTACCCGGACATAGGTATAGCTAGTAGCTACGTACAGACTCTCGTCACTTCGTGCGTACGTAGCCCCCACAAATAGAAGCACATATTAATTTAGTTCACCTATGGGGTTAATTCCCTCTTACAAGGTTAGAAAGGAGACTTACCTCGCTCTGGAGCTCCATAACAGACTCCCAAGCTTTTCCAATAACTCAAACTAATGCCCGACACTCCCAAAACTATTCAATAAATCTGCAATACCAAAATCACCATATGGAGCTATTCCCAGACTCGGGATCCCAAATGGACATCGATAACATTGAAATGCACTCCAACCCAAATTTATGAAATTCTTCTAAAATGCCAACTTTCCACAATAGGTGCCGAAACGCCCCCGGGTCATCCAAAATTCGATCCGGACATACGCCCAAGTCCAAAATCATCATACAAACCTATTGGAACTTTCAAATCCCGATTCCGAGGTCGTTTACTCAAAAATCCAACCTTAGTCAATTCTTCTAACTTAAAGCTTCCGAAATGAGAATTTTCTCTCTAAATCAACTCCGAACTTCCCAAAATTCAATTCCCACCACACGTACAAGTCACAATACCTGAAGTGAAGCTGCTTATGGCCTCAAACTGCCGAACGACGCGCTAGAGCTTAAAACGATCGATCGGGTCGACTTAAATATACGTTCGTCCTCGAACGTGCTAAGAACTGTTCCGGAGTTGTCTGAAATCACTGTTTAATACCTCGTGCACCTATCCGTGCTACGACAGCTCAGTTGAGCGCATTAGCTCGGGCCAATCTGAAGATCCTCCCCTTTATTTAGGCAAATAAGCCTTAGAGCCAAATTCCAACATCCGAAATTCTCTACCAGGCCTGTTTCTAACATACGAACACCGTATCAATCACTACACGATGTACTAATATATGATTGTATACTCTTACTGAATTCACACCATGCACCTCATAATTCACATGACCATAATAACATCCTCTGATAACAATAGGTGAAATCCCACGAATCTGATGCCCACAACACACCTCATGACGCATATAAGTCCTGTTTCAACTCTCGTAATACTGCCACGATAGAAGAGATGTGCAGAAACTCATAACCACCTGCCGAATCACAATTCATGGAGTCTCTCCTCTTGACAAGAATCATTACCTCATTCTGGACTGAATATCGATATTTGCTCTTTAATATTCTTCATAAAAATCTGATCGCACTGATCCTAGGTCCTATAATCTCATCTCATCCAGTATAAGTTGCTCAGGCAATAAGCCACCCAGACACTACCAAAAGTCTCATATGATGCAGCCATGTGCCAACAAGTCACAACTCGAATGTGATATATAAGGAAAATGAACTTTGGAAAGAACTACTCAACCTACACAACTAATTAAACGACCGAAGGGATGTTATGAACCTTCCTCAGAAAATGGGAAACAAAACACACAAGAATAGATATGGGAAACTGTACTCAGCATCACACTGTTGCGGCGTACAGCCCAATCCACACATGATACCGTTGCGGCGTGCAACCCGATCCAACCATGTTACCTGTGGCGGCGTGCCACCCGATCCAAACAACATACCCGTGGCAGCGTGCCATCCGATCCACACAAAATAATCTATAAGGAAATACTTACCGAGCTAAAATTCTCATAACTACGAAATACCCAAATATCGACCACAAGCACGCCAAGTGCGTAATACCATCCCAGGAGAGATAGACAACGCCATACGCCACTAAACTCAAGCACAACTAAGGTGCAATAAATGACCTGCATCTCGATAGCCATCCTGCTCATATAACACCACAACTACATGGGATCTTAATACGAGTGCGAATAATCAAACCATCTCACAAGCCACCTGGCATAATATAGATTACACAGAATAGCTGACGACAGAAGTAACATTCAAGGCCCGAATACTCCTCTATAAATAACGCTATGCTGAAATGAATACCTCCGTCCTGATATAGAGCACACACTCACCTATATCTCTCTCCACGGATCTCACCTATTTCTCGTTGTCGCACATGATCTCGGCCGGTACTCCAAATCGGCATATGATGTGGTCCCAAAGGAAATCGATGACTTCCTTCTCTCTGACCTTCTCGTATGCATGGGCTTCCACGTACTTAGAAAAATAGTCAGTCATAAACAATAAATTGTGCCTTACCAGGTGCCCATGGAAGGGGGCCAACGATGTCCATTCC